ATATATTTATATTAGGGAATTATTGATAGGCTAACAAAAAAAAAAAAAAAAAAAAAATGAATTGCACTTCAATTCATATGTAATGATCAAAGAAACCATACAATCTATAAATAAATGTGTTTACGTGCAGCAGAATACAGGCTGCATTTCCCAGCAGCGTGGTGCAGCTGCCAACAAACATGGGCGGCCCCCATAAGCAATTTCCAACTTCTTCATCTTTAGCTCATATCGAATGATGTCCCCTTGCTCAAGTTTCACAAAACGTGCTTCTTACCCTGATCCACAATCACTTGACTTGATATCCATCTTTTCTCCAATGTACCAATGTCCAAAACCAGCATTATTTTGAAAATTCTCCAACAAGAAACGGAAGTTCACCATTAATTTGAGATAACTAGCTATCGACATGCTTGCTATGCATTACAAGCTAGTATAATAGACAATATTTCTTTTTTAACTAATGTATAGTGCACATTACCCAACAAGCCATATATGCTTTGAAGATGCAGAAATTGGAAATCAAAACTCAGATACACAGATACAAGAAAATTTCTCCTAGATGCACAAGTTGAACATAAAATCCAGGAGGTAAAAAAGGATTTCAACTATTGACAATGTGCAATCACATTAGAAGATTCATTACAGCGTTCAACAAGGACTTGTTAGTAATCTATATTCATGATTAATGTGAGCTCAATAGCTTAAGATATTTGTACTTGTTTTGCACACCTCGTCGAAGAAAAGGCTCACCTCCATCGATGACTTTCTGGAAACTTTCAGAAGCAACTGCAGATAGCAAACCTTTGAGATCACAATAGAGCATTTTTCCTCAGCATCATGATTAAGGGTATTTTATAAGCAGCTCGTCCCTATCAACTTTATCCATATTATGGTCTCTGTCAATATTGAACCAAAAAAGGTCTGTAGTAATCAGATGAAACTAGTATTCGTTTAATGGATTAATTAGAACAACAAAGATAACCACAGGACGTGCAATAATTTCAGTGAACCTTAGCAATACCTATAGCAAAAACACCATCCATGTTCCCCGAGATAATTTTGAAGACTCTCCAACAGTCTCATTTTTACCAATATGAAGTCCATCAGCATCTGCTTCCTTAACAGAATGTTTGATAATAGTGAACAGTATTAGGAAGAAGAACCTAAATCAATACTGATTCGATCTGAGCTCGTAAAACATTGATCATTATCATCTCTAGCACTAAATGTGAACTGATATTCTAAGATAAAGTGCCATTCCTGGAGCATCATTCAGAGTATTCAAACTTATTGCTTTTCTCACGCACCCACCGTGAAGGCATTGACACGTAGTAATCTTGAGAATCAGCCTCCAAATTCTTTCTTTTCTGTTTTGTGCCTATGAACCCATACGCAATGGCTTCCAAGCCTTTCGTACTAGGTTTGTTTCTCGTGCTCTGCCTCCGACCATCAATTACAGGCTGCATCTCTACAGGGACTCTAGCATTGTTGGTAACCAACATCCCAGACTGCTGAGTTCCTTTGGAGTGTAAGAATGACTCATCAAAAGATGAATCAATAGAATTAGGCGTAACTGTTGAAAACTCCTCCACAAGAGCGACCTGAGGAGAATTCAAACCAATCAATATCTCGAATTCAGACTTCTCATTACACAGTTCGCTAGCTGGAACGTTTTTACTAACATTGCTTTCACTTCTCTCCTCTGGGATGCCAGAGAAAGTACTGTTTGATGAAGAATTTAGGTATAGTTCAGTGACTGGACTTCTTTTTAAACAGGAGGATCCTCGTACATTCGAATTAGCATCCATGGATATGCTTTCAGCATCATTTGTTGAATTTTTATTGCTGCCACATGTAAAGTTCTGCTCATCAGTGATGGAAGCCGAATGATGTAACTTGTTATTTTTCAGCCTCCGACTAAATTGGAATTTCACTGTCATCTTTGATTTCCAACTAGTGGAGGCAGTAGAGCTTCTGTCATAGTGATTTTCTACAGATGTATTCATAGGATCTGAAGCAGTAGGCAATTGCTTCTTGAAATTATCAGTTTCACAATCTGCTGTGTCATTGCATGGTCTGCTCTCAGTTACATCTTCTAGCGGATCTGAAATTCTGTCTTCCTTGTTAGAACAAGCGGGCTCCACGCATTTACTTAAAGGATCTGGAGGTAAAAATCTCAACTCTCTCACATTCACCCTTCCACTTTCACGAAACAAACTAGTATCCACAACTGTAAATTTCATTAAATTTTGACTGCAAGTAGAAATTGGTGTCTGGAGATAAGTATGGCATCTCTGATTTGATAAACCCTCCAAGTCCTGTTCTGTTCGTAAAGCTAACACGTCGTCCTTCATCTTTGTGCTATCTTCTGCAGCTTCATTGTCAAACTCGAGGAGATGAGGCTCGGATGCAACCTTCTTCAAGACATCCCTAATGGAATCAAAATATTGAGTTCCTCTCATAAGTTTCCGGGAAAAATTTTTAACACCAGGTATAATGTACACCAAATAGTTTGGATCAGCATATGCAGCATTTCTAGGCTGCTCGGAGTGCCATCCTCCTGCTAAAAGGCGGGGCCAAACAGCTTCCCAAAAAAGATCACTGGATCGAGCTTTGCTTAGCCGAAAATCACCTGTCAGAAACTTGACGATTTCACTTGAGCTAAGAGAGGAGCATTCTTTCCCACTAGGTACTCCAGCACCAAGAGGTATGGAATGATTAGCTTTTGAAGGATCCATAGCAGTGCGGGTAAGGTCTTTCTTCCCTTTGCCAATTGCTATTGCTTCTACAAGCATGTTGGTGCCAACCATGTTTCTCAAAGTGAATACATACTCTTCCAGTGAAAGTTTTCCTTCTGCAAATGTCGTCGAAACCTGCAACCAAAAATGTTGTCGTAAAACTTGTTAGTTCCACCAGTTTAGTACGTGAGATCACACACAATTAGAAACAAAATCATCAATGTACTTATTCAAAAAACGTGAAGAAAGATAATTCAGCATTAGAGCAAGCTAGGAGTGGCAGGTACTGGGTACATGTACTCCATGAAATTTATAACTAGTGATACCCTGAGATATCAACAGCAGAGGCACTACTAGGACATATTCAGCAAGAAACGTCAATGCTTTCAAGTTAGGTTATTGAAAATATATAAATATTCATTTCACAGCAATACAACTCCTCTTTTGAAATAAGATAAATAAATAAATCAATCCATGTCAAAGCTCATAGTAATCTTATAGGCACATAATGAATTGCAACTTGAAGGTGTTGGGAAAACAAGAAAAAGGATTACCAAATTTCATATTTTTTAGTCCACTTCAAAGAATAATAAGAAACATAACTCTTCACAGCGCGCCCAGACTCATGAGGACAATAGTGCAAAAAAATATATATATATATCTGGCATCTGCCAATCTACCCTAACTATTCAGCCTATTTTTGTGAAAGATAACATGATTATTTTGACCGTTATTTCGAATGCTCGACAATTACAACATCAAAGATCCAATGCAGATTGCTCAACAAGTGAAGATCCACCATATGACAGTCAATTACTTGCAACTTGACAAGATCAGTGAAAGGGTCATATGATCATTTGAAGATCAATGCCACAGCACGACACTGTATATCAAGTAGTATTTTTTTTCCTTTGGATGAAAATTGTTCCTACAACATAGTAACTTAATTGATTGCCTTAGTATTGTAATTTTCCTACCTTTTCCATTACTCTCTTTACCTAAGTAAAATTCATGTCTGTGGATATGGATATCCTCAGAAGTTTCATGATGCTCAACAACTTTGTGACACACAGCTTCCAAAGTCTCATAAACATACAAATAATTATGGGTATCAAAAGAGTTGAATAATATTTGTCATTTGATGCAACTATTACAAACTGAAGACTTTCAAATCTCTGCTGTGGGGAATATAAAACAATCAAATTTCAAGAATATACCTCTGACAACTGTTTCTGGCATTCTTCTGAGACATGGCAAAACAAACGAGATAAGAGTTCCCGCTGCCTCCAACCTGTTAAAATCCTTTGTCCATGCACGTATCTTCTGCTCTTGAGTTTTCGACTTTCTGACCAGCTTCGATAAACACTTGATCTATAGAACTTTCCATAATAGTATGCTAATATGTCTCCCATATCTCTACTCTCAACAAATTTTCTGGCCATCAGAAGGTTTTTCCCAAAGAAGTACAAGCCGAGAAGAAAGCTATCACGCTCAATTTTTGTCCAAGCTTTGGTTTGTGAACCGGCCTTTCTTCCCTGGGCTGTCACCAATGCGGCATCCATACTATCACAAGCGAATATAGGTTGATGATTTACTGACCATCCACTTTCTTTGCCATTGTCTAATAAAGCATGTGCTTTTGCATATTTATTATTAAACATAATTCTGGAATAATAATTTCTTATTTTAAGCTGCAAACTTTGACATCCGGGGATAAGTGATGGAACTTCAACCTGATATTCAACTCCAACTCTGATGATCATTTTAGGATCTCCAAATATATCATGTACTTTTGAAGATAGTACGGCCAGGGAACAATTAGCAGTTTCATTGAAGATACCGTCCATGTTGTGTTATAGTATAAGCCTCTGCAAATAACATGTAGAACTTTTGAGAGTTAGGGTGCACATGATTACCGCCCTTAAAAATAATATCAAGTTAAAGTCAGGCAGTCCTTAAAAAACTACACCATTATATTTAAGGGAGCAGAAATAAGAAGCATTGACCTTTAAATATGCTAACATCAATTATAAAAATATTTCCATAAAGAATTTTTTTTAAAAACAATCTTCAATCACAAAAGAAATCATCTATTTTCTCCTGCATTCAACTGAATTTATTTTTTATATATGGAATATGAGAAAGATGCGATGCAATCATTGAGAAGGTTCTAACACAAGATATTTATCTTTAAAGTTGAAGTCCTGTCCACTTTTAAGTGTAGCATAGTTGTGTAGAAACTATTCCCCAATAAGCATCTAGTGCTGAGTGTCAAGAAGATGTTTATAAGGCCATGCATTTTAAAAATGTACAGCTCATCTTCCAGAAACAATGTAAGTTTTTTTTCTTCTAGATTTTAATGTATAAGATACTACTTCAAGGGAAATATCAACATATAATGACAACAAATAAGCTTTGTTTATGTCTGCATCCTGCATGGCATTGGACCCAAATATGGTATGAGCTCAGACAAACTGATGTAGCCGCAAAGTTTGAGCAGCCATTCCTTAGCCTCTATCAGAGCTCAGACTTAGCAAATAAGGCCAAACGAGAGCTGGTTGAGCATTCATCTGCCCAACTACCGCAACACGGCCTTCACTGTGGCCAAAAGGCGTTGCCACCAACCAATCACCTTACTCTAAGCTTCTCTATATATAAGATATAAACATAGAACCACGTGTCTATTTATCTTCTCTAAGACAGAAAATTCATTTCTATAATCACCAAAAATATAATCTGAAGTGCTTCCACCCAACACCCTTCCCTTTCCCGTGGCTAGGCACTCCAATATGTTGCTAAGTCTTCAGAACAGGATAGAGGTTTTTTGCTCTGTCAATTGACTGAAAACTCTTGTAGGATTTGATCATTGACAAGCCTTATTCCCAATAAATTTGTAAAATATGAAATAAACATAAGATAACTGAACTGCTAACGGCGAATGATCAGGTCCAAAAGCACCAAGAAGTAATCAAATCTGATCCTTTATCTAGGACTTTTCTGAAAGAAATATAAACCACACAAATTGAAATCTTGAAATCACCTGTTAAAGTTGCAAAATCAGAGTTTATTCCATACTATTACAGAAACTAAATTTGTACTCTGCATTTGAACATGAATCAAAATTATTTATGCTGACCACTGAAAAAAATGAAAAAGAATTATCCTATGTACCTACCAAATTGAGAAATGTAAATGACCAAAGAATTCTTGCTTGCTGGATTGCTAAATTACCAAACTTAACCCAAAATATGTAGAATTCTAGATAATCATTAATAACATCAGCAAAAAAGCCACATTAATTTTGTACCCAAACCGAAAGTAAATTTCGACTTGCTAATTTTTTGATATACATAGAAAATGAAAAATTCGCATAAAACAGCAAGCAAAACTGACAAAAAATCACCTTTTTTTCTGGCCATGTATCATGTATAACATAAACAATAAAAACATTCAAGAAAAATCGAACAACCGGCCTTTGCACACCCTGCTTCTACTCATAATTACCATCTCATCCCAAAAATTTATTCTTGAAAACCCATAAGAAGACAAGAGGGGCGTATTCACTGTGTGCACTGCTGACTACAGAACAAAGGCAATGAAAAGGAAAAAAAACGTCTCGACAGAAAAATAAAAACATGTATTTGTGCTAACTTTTGTAAACCAACTTGAACGTGAAACCTGCGTGCAGATCAAAGTTGAACAGATGGGTCTTCTTGTTTATGCATCTATTGATTTCTCTTCGGCAATGAAACTTCGTACAAAATTTAAGGGGAAAATAAAGTTCTTGCAAGAAAAAATAAGCACACATGGAAACTAATGAAAATACTAGAACAAAAAAAAAAAATCATGTGTAAAAGCATGTCAAAAAGGCATGATGAATAAGGAGATACATTCGCCTCACCTTGGCACGAAAGTTGAGTTTTTGAAGGGACTGGAGTTTCAGCATAGTTGAGTCGAACGTAGATTGAGAGGACGTATTTATTTGAGTTAAGTCTTTTGTATTAATGTTTATCACTTTTGACATCATCCAAGTTAACATCATCCAAGGCAGCAAAGTTGAGTCGAACTTGGATTGGGGAAAAAATTGTTCATTTTTTAAAACTGTCCAATAATTTGTCGTCATTCAAGGTTGGGCCTAATCTCGACTTTGTCCTATTTTTCTTTTGCCCCCCACTCTCTACCGTATTTCCTTCCTTTATAATACAACAAGCAACAACCCACCAAGTGAATTTCAAAGCTACAAGTTTTACGACACAGACGCTGGATTCTTTAAAAAAACCAAGATCGCGGGTGGTTAAGAGGGCCATGAATTATAAAAAAGTATTAATAAAGATTTTAAGAAATTATTTTATAGTTTCGAACTTGTAATCAAATTAGTTAGTTATATATGATATTCATTTATAGAACATAAGAAACTAAATATAAAATTTTGATAATCTCTAATGAAATTCATTGATTTAATATAATCTTCAATAATAGTTAAATTAGTGATTATACAAATAAAAATTTATGAAATAGATTTAAATTTTATCGCGTCACTATATGAGAAATCCACGATAAATAAAAGCAAATTTATCGTAGTTGATTTTTTTTCTCTCTCTCTTTGAAACATCTCATTCGGTTAACTATCTATCTGAATATAAATTTATGGGAAAAATTTAGATTGGTCTACTTCTCTAGTCAGACTCAAAATGAAATTTCTGTCTCGCAAAAAAATAAATTAAAAATTGTTAATATATCTATTTAATAATGCAAAATGATTGTAGAATCATTTATTTTTATTTTTTTGAAATGTTATCTAGAGTAAAGTTGACAAAATTCTCATCAATACAAGTTTTTTTTTTGTCTATATTGATAGGAAGAGTAGATTTTCTGAATGGAGGAAAATTTGCTTAGTTTTACAAAAATGACGATGATTCGAAATTCGTACAAAAAAATAAAATTTGGTAACACTTTTTAACATTAATGATTATATTATTAATAACTCGCAATAAATTCAAAATTTATTATTTAAACATTAAAAATGAATTTGCCCTCAGAGTCACAATTTACCCTCCCTTGCACCTACGGGAACAAGTTGCCTCGTTGGTAAGCCCACTTGAGTTAGGGGGCATTGTTCTAAGAGCAATGCCATGGGTACATGAAAATACCCACAGAAAATGAACAGAATACACACAATAGGTGGGCCTCGATTTTTTTAGCAATATTTAATTCATGTGGGCTCCGCCTCCTCTTGTGAGTGTAATTCAAATTTATGTAGAAAATCTGTTTTTTTTTCCCCTGTACTTGCAGCCTTTTTTCTTGTTCTAAATGTGACCTTTCTATTATTCGATCCGAACTCTCGAAAGTATTGTTTATTATCATGTCCAGTACCAAACATACACTGATACACTAATGTTACATTATAGTGTGTCAATCCTGGAGCATCATTCAGAGTATCCAAACTTACAACTCTTCCCATGCGCGCACCGTGAAGGCATTGACATGCAGTCATTTTGAGAAATGGCTTCCACACTCTTTCTTTTCTGTTTTGTGCCTATGAATCCATATGCAATGGCTTCCAACCCTTTCGTACTAGGTTTGCTTCTCGTGCTCTGCCTCCGACCAATGACAACAGGCTGCTTCCCTGAAGTGACTCCAGCATTGTGTGTAACCAACATCCCGGACTGCTGAGTTCCTTCGGAGTGTAAGAATGACTTGTCGACAGACGAATCGATAGTATTAGGCATAACACGAGAAAACTCCTTCACGAGTTGAGAATCCGTAGGGACCTGAGGAGAATTCAAGCCAATCGATATCATGGAATGGGACTTTTCAGTAGACAGTTCACTACCTGGAGAGTTCTTATTAACATTTCTTTCACTGCTCTCCTTTGGGATGTCAGAGAAAGTGCCGTTTGATGACAAATTTAGGTATGGTTCAATGACTGGACTATTTTTCGAACCGGAGGATCCCTGTCTATTCAAATTAACATCCACAGAGATGTTTTCAGCATCATTTGTTGATTTTTTATTGCTGCCAATGGTGAAGTTCCGCTCATCAGAGATGGAAGCAGAATGATTTAACTTGTGATTTTTCAGTCTCCGACTAAATTGGAAATTCACCATCATCCTTGATTTCCAGCGAGGGGCGGCAGTAGAGCTTCTGTCATGATGATTTTCAACCACTGTACTCATCGGATCTGGAGTAGAAGGCAATTGCTTGTTACAATAATCGGTTTCACAATCTGCTGTGTCATTGCATGGTCTGGTCTCAATTACATTTTCCAGCGGAGCTGAAATTCTATTTTCCTTGTTAGAACATGTGGGCTCCATGCGTGTACTTGAAGGGTCCGGAGGCAAAAATCTCAACTCTCTCACATTCACCCTTTCGCTTTCACGAAACAAACTGGTATCAACGACTGTAAATTTCATTATATTTTGACTACAAGTAGAAGTTGGTGGCTGGAGATAAGTTTGGCGTCTCTGATTTGATAAACCCTCCAAGTCCTGTTCTGTTTGTAGAGCTAACACGTCGTCCTTCATCTTTGTGCTATCTTTAGCTGCTTCATTGTCAAACTCGAGGAGACAAGGCTCGGATGCGACCTTCTTCAAGACATCACTAATGGAATCAAAATATTGACTTCCTCTCACAAGTTTCGGGGAAAACTTTTTAACGCCGGGTATAATGTATACCAAAGAATAGTTTGGATCAGCATATGCAAGACTCCTAGGCTGCTCGGAGTGCCATCCTCCTGCTAAAAGACGTGGCCAAACGGCTTCCCAGAAAAGGTCACTGCGTCGAGCTTTGCTTAGCCGAAAATCACCTGTCAGAAACTTGATGATTTCGCTTGAGGTAAGAGACGAGCATTCTTTACCACTAGGTACCCCAGCAAGATGAGTCATGGAATGATTAATTTTCGAAGGCTCAATAGTAGTGTGGGTAAGGTCTTTCTTCCCTTTGCCTATTGCTATTGCTTCTACAAGCATGTTGGTGCCAACCATATTTCTCAAAGTGAATACATACTCATCCAGTGAAAGTTTTCCTTCTGCAAATGTCATCGAAACCTGCAACAGATCACATTCAGAGACCCAAAAATGTTTCCATAAAACTTGTTAGGTCCACCAGTATTGAAGGTTAGATCATCAATAATTAGAAAGAAATTCATCAATGTACTTGTCAAATAAATGTGAAGAAAGATTATTCAGCAATAGAGTAAGCCGGAAGTGTAAGGTACATGTACTCCACAAAATTTTTAACTGGTGATACCATGAGACATTTCCATCAGAGGCACTATTGCGACATATTCAGAAAGACACGTTAATGCTGTCAATTTAAGATATAGTAAAATGTCTCCCCTTGAAGTAGAAGGAACCTTCTCTTTCTTTTTCAGAGGGAGCAGGATCAATTAACAAAGGGAGAAAACTTTCAAGAGAAAGACAGAAAAGAATAGAACTCCATTTCACAGAAATACCACATTTTCTTACAATAAGATAAATAAAATAAACCCATGACAGACATTCAAAAAAGATTAGAGGAAGCCGGAATCCATGTCAAGGCTTATATTAATCTTAAGGGCACATGTTAAATTGAAACTTGAAGGTGTTGGGAAAATAGAAAAAGGACGCCAAATTTCATATTTCAGTCCACTTCAAAGAAGTATAAGAACACCCCCCCTTCGAAATACCAGCCTAAAATAAGTATTCGTTATGACTATGAGGATAATCGTGCTAAACAATATAGTCATCTGTTGCCATAAGTTCTCTGAATGTATACCAAAAGAAGTGGATAAGATAGGTTAAATAATTAATCATTTTGACAGTTCTTTCAAATGCATGGCAACTGTTGGGAATTTACTTAACATGCACAGCGGAAATTAAACAATTTTCAATTCCCAAACGAGGATCTGCAATGTGTTTAGATAGAAACTGTGATGAGAATGATACCTTTGATGAATTCCACAAACTCTTTTGCTTTTTCTTGAACTCCAATGATCACGATCTGCAATCCAAGCTG